TTACATTCATTCTATCGTATATTGTTTCATTGCCATGGTTACAATCCCCTCCATGCATCATCAACCAACCAAAGCGTTTACACTACAAGCCTGCACCCCAGTCATCAGCACACAGCCCCTCTCCCTCTCTGGATCTAAAGTCTCTGGAGCAGCTGGCAAACTTGAACCATCAACCTTACAGTTAGCAGTCCAGTGCTGATCCTACAGGACAACACCAGGACTTCTAAATATGTACGTATAGGTATGTATACATGAGGGGACTTCAAAAAATTTGTGGAAAATGGAATAGAAAGATAATGGGATTTTCCACAAGCTTTTTGAAATCCCCCTCATATGTATATGCATTTGTGTGACTATGCACATATATTTATATGCAATAAAGCACATGGAGGACACAGTTACTGATACTTAGATCTAACCAGCCACTTTGGATCTCTGGGTTGAAGGATTAGGACCATGGTCTCATGATAAATCTTGGTTAATTGACATAATCTAGTTCATAGAGTTAAGTTCTACAGACTAGTTTGGTGAGTAGTGTCTGGAGTTTTAAAAAATTGAGACTGGCCATCTCAGATACAACTATTGCTCTCTGTCAGTCTGCAGTAAAAGAAAAATAAGGAAACCAAAGACTCTAGTCTTTAGGATAAATATATGAACCCTGACCTCATCTACCCTGAGACCAGAAGAATTAAATGGTGCTCTGCTACCACCACTGACTGTCTTAATTAGGCCACAATAGTTGAACTTTGAGAGAATGGGAGAAAAATGTGGAACTGAATCTCAAATGGCTAGAAAAACAAAACAAAAGAAACCAAACCCAAAATAACCAAATAACCCAAATCTGATGGACTGATTTAAAGTAGTGAATACCCTGTGATTGTTGCCCTGAGATACTCTTCAAACTTGAACTGAAACTAACCCTGAGGTTACCTTGTAGCTAAATAATAATTCAGCTCACAAAATACTGTCATCTGTAAGTATATTGTCGGGTGCTGTCGAGTTGGCTCTAACTCAGAGTGATTCTGCATAGAGTTTCTGAAGAGCAGCTGATGGGCTTGAAGTGCCATCCTTGCGGTTTGCATTCCAGTCCTCATCCACACTAGGAATACTTAAGTACACTACTCCTTTCAAAAATCACCTATATGAGACCAAAGTGTCAAAAATTATTTTAAAACAGAGGTATGTATATATGTTGTTGTGTGCTGTTGAGTTGGTTCCGACTCATAGTAATCCTGCATAGGGTTTCCAAAGAGTGAGTTTGAGCCACCAACTTTGCCGTTAGCAGTCCAGTGCTTATCCTTCAGTGCCACACCAGGACTCCAGTTTAGCTTCCCATTCAACAATGTCTGCACAAGTTGTTGAGTGACACTGGTTACATGCCTCATAATGCATGAACATTCTCATTATTTCTGTTCTGGTGGTTCCATTTACATGAATCCCTCAAGGGACTGGGAAACTAGATTCATGTAAATGGAGCCACCAGAATAGAAATAATGAGAATGTTCATGCACTGTGAGGAATGTAACCAGTGTCACTGAACAACGTGTCCAGACATCGATGAATGGGAAGCTGTGTAAACCTTCACTGAAAGTGCAATATATTATTTAAGCACACAACAACAGTGAAAGTCTTTACGACATCTCTGCTCCTACTTTTAGGGGATAATTATTGTAAACATTGTGGTATATAGCTTGTAGATTTTCATCTTGGAACAACTAGTTATATCAGAAAGGATGTGTGCCTTATGTACAAATTAAAATGCACATTCAGATTTGTGAATGTATATGTCATATGTTTTTGTTCAGCTGTATTTGTATTCTCACCAGCCGTACCTTGGAAACCATATACAGGGTTGTTATGGGTCAGAACCAACTTGATGGCACTTAACAACAGCAACATATTTGTATTGGTATGTTCAGCATCTTTATAATTGCATATATCTTTTTCGGACTTGAAATAAGCATTCTGTGACTTTAAAATAGGTAGTGTATCCCATACACTCTTGTCAGTTTATCCTTGTCTATTTATCTTACCTCATTCTTAATGGCTGCATAATATTTCATAGACTGTATATACCATCATTTCTTTGTTGTTGTTAAGTGTCATTGAGTCAATTCCGACTCAATAGTGACCCTGTATAGGGTTTCTGAGGAGCAGTTGGTGTACCTGAACCTCCAACCTGCAGCTCAAACTGACCTGCTTTTCAGCGCATTAACCCATGGCACCACCAGTTCCATATTGTTGAAGGTCTGTTATTTCCTTCCCCCCCCATTTCCAACAATGTTGAGCATTCTTGCATGCGTCTGTATATATATGGGAGTATTTTTCTTGGCTAGATGTCTAGAAATGTAATTGCCCATCGTGTTGTCTTTTTTTTTTTTTTTTAAGTTTTTATTGTGAATTGAGTCATAGTTTACATGGGAGAACATCGGTTTTACACTCATCCTATCGTATTTTGTTTCATTGCAATGATTACAATCCCCTCTGTGCATCATCTTTAAATAGTATTTGCTTCTATTCCCTCTGTTTTGTTTTTTGTTTGAATGTACACAAAAACACTTAGGAATATATAATCATTTAAACAACTAAAGGGCACATTCTGCAAGCTTGCCTCCTGGCCACCAGCACATAGCATTTCTCATTCCATACGTCTGGAGTCCTCAGCAGCTCTATCTTTCCATGTCCTCATCTCTGCCTCCATCTCTGGTATTGCTGCTTTTCTGGATCGGACCCCACATTGTGGTATGTAGCTCTTCTACCTTGATGGTCCTAGAGTCCTCTGTTCCTGGACTGTAAGATTAACTACTTCTGCCTTTGTGTTACAAAACTTGTACTTTACAGTTGTGACAGTTGCAATTAGTCATGATAACAGTTACTCACTATTGAATCATAAGAATCTTATACCAATCTCCTTTCACTAGACCCATGTAGACAAGATGAAAACTATTCACTGGGGATTCTACCTTCCCCCTCATACTCTGAAATAACTCCCTCTTGAAAACTTGTAAGCCAGTCACTTCATGCCTTTATTGCTCTCCAGCCCCCAATTTAGGTAGCCAATGTCTAAGTTGCCCATCCATATCTACCCAGTATACAGAGGGTATAGGATTGATACTTGATGTGAAGACTCCTTACCTCGCAGTTGGTATTTTGAGCTATTACATCCATAAGTATAGGTCAAGTTCATCAAATTGTAGCTATTTACACTTGTTTCCTTTATCAAAATTTTTTTATCTGCCTCTAGTCTCGTTCTGATCATCAAGCTATTGAGGCTAGGTCAAATGGGTACTATCTGCAAGTTTGGGCGTTCTTGTTCATCTCCTCTCACTTCATATCAGCTGGATGCTTCACTTTCATGTCTAGCTTTCCATGGCTATGTCCTTGTTCATGGGCTCAGGAGTTCCCAGGTCTCACCACACTTTGGACCAACCAGCCCTTCCTCTTCACTCTCTCATCTCCTGGTTGACAGGAGTCTATGGAGTGAGATCAAACTCAGCCCATATTTTCATTGCTGTCTTTTCCCCACTTCCACTCACCAGTGGACCAATGTGGTCGTCAGAAAGCTTACGTGCCTGAAGGGACATGATTCTTGGCTTGACAGCTCCCTGGCAAACAACTTGCTTGTTCTTGTAGTAGCCAATCACTACCATTTTTGTTTTTGATTTTTCCTGTTGGTCTTTCTTTCAAGAAGTGTCTTCTGTTCCTCTAGCTGCTACAGGCTGGTCTGCTTGTCTTTTCCAGTGGGAATGTCCCACCTCAGAAGGTTCTGGATGGGGCTTAGGAGTCCACCTAAAGGTCAGATCATGCTGTCTTAACGGCATTTTTAATCTCTCCCTTTAAGCCATGCTTGATGCCTTGCACATATTAGACACTTAATAAATATTTACTGAATTGAACACTGAAGGATTTTTATTCTGGATTTATCCCTAACTTGCTATTCCATTTCAGTAAATTTTTGTATGACACCCTAATACCTATATCACTTCCTATAAAAGGAGTCCTGGTGTGGTGCTAGGGGTTTATGTGCTGGACTGCAAAGTTCGTTTGAATTGCAACGTCGGTGGTTCAAGCTTGCCGGTCACTCCTCGGAAACCCTATACAGGGTCACTGTGGGTCAGAACTGAAAAGTGTTGGTTATTTCAGTATTTTTTGGGGAAACTAAGGTTAAATGAGTCAAGCAATATTTTGATTACCTACTATATGTGTGGCACTAATTAGTGGGCATAGAGATGAGTAAGGTGCAATTCTAGCCCTCAAGGTTTTCCCAAACCATCAGGATGAAGCTTGTTAGAGGTATAGTCCTTCCCCCAAACACATGTAATAATGAGGGTTTCAGCAAAGGGGAGATATAATTCTTGGATACTCACAGCAAAGGTTTCATGGCAGAGTGTGCACTGAGAGACGTTTCAAGGAAGGGTAGCATTGGGGCAAGTGAAGCAACGTTGAGGTGGCATGGAGTGGGCACAGGTGGTGGTTCTCAGCAGAGGGACCCACATATGGGGATTTAGAGGAGATGAGAAAAGTGAGAACTCGGAGTCTACTGAGTATGGAGAATGGAAGTAGGAGCTGAAGCTGAAAAGCTAGCAGGAGACATATTGTGGTAAATCTAGAATTTCAGACAGGAGTGTGGCATTTATCTGGGAGGCTTTGGGCTACCGTGAGAGATCTTTGAGTAGAATGGTAGTATTGGAGTTGGTTTTGAGGAAGCAATGAGTTCAGTAAGTCTTGGTTGTGAGTTAAAAACAACAAAACAAACCTAGTAGCAACAAGTTGATTTTGACTAAGCCCTGTAGGATGAGTAGACCTGCTCTTTAGGGTTTCTGAGACTAGAAATGTGAGAGCAGACAGCCTCTTTCTCCTTTAGAGTGGCTGGTGAGTTTTAACCATCAACCTTGCAGTTAGCAGCACAATGCTTAACCCACTCTGCCACCAGGACACTTGGGTGTGAGGAAAGGAGAGTCATATATCCCAGAGGTTCTGATTGTCCCTTTTTCCCATAGCTGTCTGATCACGTGGTTAATCGTATGAAGGATTCCAGTGAGACTTCAAAAGTGGAGCAGCCAACCCCTCTGCCTAGTACAACTTCATCTTCTGCATTTGGTCCTCCAGAAGGCAAAGCCAAAGCCCCTGAGAAAGGTATTATGGATTGCAGTGATTTGGTGAAAGGAATGAAAACCACATACTTGGTCAGAATATATAACTACTAATGTAGCTCCAGTTTATTTATTTTTAAAGTTTTTATTGTGAATTGAGTGATAGTTTACATGGGAGAACATTGGTTTTGCACCATTGTTTCATAACGATTACAATCTCATCATTCAACAGTATTTGCTTCTATTCCCTCTGTTTTTTTTTTTTTTTTTTTTTTTTTGAGGGGAGTGTACACAAAAACACTCAGGAATATATAATAATTTAAACAAGCAAAGCTCCAGTTTATTTTTGAGAGATGTGAGTAGCTCCTTTGTAATACCCACTCTCTGAGGAAGTGTGGCTTTCAGATACTGTTTGGAGTGAGGAAAGCGGCACCCTTTTTGTGATTTTGGCCAGACTTTTTAAAAAAATCTAACAACATAAGCACTTTATTTTTTCATGAAGCTTCTTAGTTTTTTTCAGTATCACAATGGAATGATGAGAAAACAAGAACAACAAAAACATAAGTCTTTGCAAATATCTGACAAAGAGCAGAGACTTCAAGGCTATTGGGGGAGGGGGACTTGATAGAAATGTCATGTCTCTCCTAGACCAGCTGGGCCAGGGAGGGGTGGGAGGCGGGATGGTGAGAAGGTGCCATTGTCATCAGTTGTCCTTGGTGTTTCGTCTCATGACTGATACCCTGTGTTCCACATGTTGGCCAGACTTTTGTCCCTTACTCTGTTACACGACTTCAGAGATTCTGCTTCTCAATCTGGCTGCCATTCATCTCTCTCTCAACTCCAAGGTACCTTCCTACAGAATCAAAGTCTCTTTTCAAACTTTTAATCTCTCACAGGGATGGAGTACCCAGTAATATAAGCATGGGCTTACTTGTACTTGTTAACTTGTAGTGAATATTTTCACATGGGTTTCACCACATCTTTGCCATTATTCATCTTTGCTTCTAGTCCTTCCATTTCCCAGTCCAGTGCTTATCCTGTAGTGCCACCATGTCTCAGTATGTCTACCACAGACAGTTAATCGGAATCTATAGGCTCTCTAGGTGATTCTTAGCACTTGGTGATTGTGTTAAAATGTAGATTCGAATTCAGTATATCTGGGGTGGACATGCAGATTCTCAGCAAGGGTTGAACCAGAATGAACTGGTTTGAAGCCCGATTATAAGAGTCAAGGTGACTCTTGTTCTTTCAGCATTTTTGAGAAATGTGAGCAGCTCCTTTCTGATCCTATTCATTCAGCATTTCTTGAATGCTTACTGGGAATCTGATCTTGTGTTTCGAGCTAGGACATGGTAATAGATCAGACAGGAAATCTCCTGTCTTATGCCATGCACAGCTCTAGTAAAGGTAGACCTACTGTAACAACTTAGAGTTCAATTACACTAGAGGTGATATAGGGTAAAGTAGAATTAGGTGTAAAATGGGGAGTTTGCCTCATTTAGGAATATAAATCAGTGAAATGGGCTAGTAAGGGGAAGAGGATTTAAGGAGCCTTTCCCCACCCCTATGCAAAATCACCCATGAGGCTATCTCTTTGAAGCTTAGCGCTGACTTCCCCTAACCTTTCCTGTCCTGTGTTTCAATGGCCTAGACTCCAAATAGTTGCACAGTGAGAAGGGAGAGATTTGGAAAAGTGCTGCCTGCTGCTAGCCACACAATAGGAAGTCCTGGTAGCAGAGAGACCCTGTGAGGACAGGGTGTGAATGATAGGCACATCAAACTCCACATGGGTTAGATCAAGAGTGCATTCTGTGTTGAACTCCTTCTCTTGGGTGATTGCAGCCATGCTGCTGCTGGTCCTTTGGTGCTGTTAACAGGCCGTTTCTCTCTTGTCTTTGCAGAATCCAAACCACTAAGCTCAGAGAATGGTGAGAAGCAACAACCTTCAGGGGCAAAGGAAGATCTGCTCAGGAGGTAAGACCAAGCTTGTCTCATTTATCCCTAGCCATCTGCTCTCTCCTCACTGAATATCCTCCCTTGGGTGTCTTGATGGTGTGTCCTTATATATTTTATCTTATTTGAGTCTCATGACAGCCCTGTAGTATAGGTCGTACTGTTCCTAGTTTGAAGATGAAGAAACACCCAAAGGGGATAGGGTGTTGGTTAATAATATTCTGAAAAATTAATGAAAAAATAAACTAAGGTAAAACAGTTGATTGACTGGCCCTTCTATATGTGTGTGTGCATGCATACCTTTAGAGAGATGACAACAGTGAGCCCTCAGGATTTGAACTGTAGTTGGCTAGATTCACTGTTGGTGGCTGCTGGAGACTTCCTGTCAGCATGGAACAAACACACTCACATAGAGCTGGCCTCACAGCTGAGATAGGACTGGCTCCTTTTCCCTTGAGGCCTTGCAGAAGAATGTAGAGGGAACAAATACTGGCACTGATTCAGGCTTGTATCTTGATTTGGTCATGTGCTAGTTCTATGACTTTGGGTAGTTATTCATCTGTCTAAGTCTGAAAGGCAATAATTTGAATATCTCGTTGGATGTGTAAAAATGGTGTGACGATGGTGTCTGACTTCTAACTTAAGGGGAAAGCGAGAAAGTCAAGATCACCAGCATCAGCCACTCAAGGCTATGATGTGAAAGTCAGACATGCATGACTCCACCCTCCACCCCTCTACCATTTCTAACACCAACTGTCCCTCCCGTGGCATTCTATGGGGGGTTTCAAAAAAGTTAATGGGAAAATTCTGTAATCATTTCATTCTGGGTTTTTTTTTTTTTTTTTTTTTATTGTGAATTAAGTGAAAGTTTACAGGGCAGATCATTAGCTTCACATTCAACCATTCATATGACTTATTTCATTACATTGATTATAATCCCCTCCATACATCATCAGTTAACAGTATTTCTCTCTATCCTCTTTAGCTTTTTTTTTT